TTTTTTTTTTTTTTTTTTTTTTTTTTTTTTTTTTTTTTTTTTTTGATCAGGCGCGGCGAGGGGCCATACTAATCTTTTCTGTATCGTTCCAATTTTAACGGATGTCCCGAAGGACGCCTCCTATTATAGTGGTTGGACCATTTTGGCAGGTAGTTTAATTTAGGCTTTTGGTTTGGTGTTTTGGTAGCTAAGGCACAAACTGCAGGCCCAGGCAAGTAGTAGCAGCTGATTGAAAAGTGCCGATAGTTCATGAAACAAGAAAAAAATGATCGTATAGAATTGAGGAGGGCCCTCAGGCTGGCTCCCCGAGCAACATGCATCAAACAAAATTGGCTCAAGAAACCACCATAGCCAGTGAACAACACGTTCTTACTCGGTCTGGCTATGGTTGCACTGTCTGGCTCTCCTGGAGCAGTACCCCGATTCTCTGTCACAGTGGATTTGCAATCGACTGTAGTGTTATCTCATCTCAATCAAGATGATCAAGTGTGTGTAGTGAGATGATGAATGGAAGTACTTGGGATTGAAGTTCCTGAAATTTGTGACAGTCACTGGCATCTTGACTTTGGATCCTTTTGTGTGTGTGTGTGTGTGTTTTGTGGTGGCTGCTGGCAAAAGCAGGGTGGTTCGGTCGGTAGCCTTTCTTGGCTGCGCATTAGAAAGAGAGGGGGGGCTCAGGGGGCACAGATCAGATGCTGACGCTCGACGTTAAGGATGGGGAAGCATAAGCTGATTCGTACGTTGCATGTGGGTGGGCGTCAGATTCTCGAAGGCAAGGATCTTCTTCTTGCCCCACCTCTGGTGCAATTCAATGTTCATCCAGTCAATCCGTGGATCGTCTTCATTACAGGAGGAAATCATGTGCAATTGTGGGACTATGAAGACGGGCGACGTCTCACAAGCTGGGTGCCAAAAGCAGTCGGCAGCTCGCTTTACTGGCCTACCTTCGTCGGTCAGAAAGATTGGATATTGGTAGAGGATAGTGGTAGAATCCGCGTGCTCGAATTTGTAAATATAAGGTTCTTTCCGGACATAAAATGTATCGCGACACTCAAGTCGGGTAGAAGTGAACTTCGATGTATGGCGGTCCATCCCACCTTGCCGTATCTTTTAACAGGCTTCCAGCACAAGCATGTCGAGCTCTGGAATTTCGACAAGGAATGGGAAAAAACGCAGTATAGAGGTCATTACAAAAGAGTACATACCGTGGCCTTCAACCACAACACTGATATCTTTGGCAGTGCTGCAAATGATGGCACCGTTAAGATCTGGAGGATTGGCACGATGGCGGTGGTGCAGACAATAAGCGGTTGCAGGGGACTCTGCAGCATGGAGTTTTGCAGCGATGACAAGCAGTCGCTGCTGGTCACAGGTTTCGACGACGGTAGCGTAAGAGTGTGGAATTACCTCATGGCGGTATGTGTGGGTGAGTTGGAACGGCATAATGGTACCGTTAGGGCGGCATTTTTCCAGCCAAACATGCCGTACATCTTTAGCGTGTCGGAGGACGGAGAAGTCAAAGTGTCGTCTGCGTCCGACTATGCGGTATTGACTTCGTACAGGAGCGGATTGCAAGAGGTCTGTAGTATGGCTCCTGGCAGACAATCTGGTACAGTTGTCGTTGGCGGTGAAAGCGAATTCGTTGTGCTGAAATTGGTTCTACCGGCATACTTCTTATATGAGGAAGAAGACTCTGAGAAGGAGAGAGGTTCCTTCTGCGATGGAAGCAGTTGGCCACACGATCCCATGCAGGTTGTCACAGAGGAAGTAAGGCCAGAGGAAGAAGCTGAAGATTTAACCCCGGAGCACAGGCTAGATTATCTACGCAGCAGAAACGACGAGGAAGAGAGACAAAAGGATTCCTTTTATGGTGAAAACGATGACGCGGAGGGTTTATTACAGCAGCCTTGCTATTCGACGATGCACGATCATTTCGAAGACGAAGGAAGGAGTCCACAGGAAGATGCATGTCGGGAGGATGTGCGTGTAGGGTTTGCACATAGGGAAGAATCGGTCGAAGAGGGAGGGAGGCAACGGGACGATGCAGTTCAGGAGGAGGTGGCGGTAGATTTTCACGAAAGGGAAGATGCAGCTGAAGAGGGAGCGAGGCAACATGAAGGTTTATTGCGGGAGGAGGTGGCAGTAGATTTTGTGCTCAGGAAAAAAGTGAAGGAAGAGAGACAAACAGATTCTTTCGTTGAGAATGACCGCACATTTCGGCAGGAGGCGGTGGTACATCTTCCACACAGGACAAGTCTTAGAGTGAAGGAAGAGATACAAACAGACTCTTCTGATAGAAATGACTGCACACGACACACGGGCGATCTGCGCCAGGCTGTGAAGGCGGCGGTGCGGAAGGAAGATGTATTAGGGGCCGAAATCCAGTGTTTGCGTGCGGAACATAGTGCGTTGATGGAATACGTGGCAGCGGCGATGGCGAGGGACCACCAACAGATAGTGGAAGCCAACGTACAGATGCAAGGCATGGCAGCAGGGATGGCAATGATCCAGCAACAGATGGCGAGGGCTCAGCAGCAGATGGCGAGGGCTCAGCAGCAGATGGAAGACAGGACGGCAGCCGTGGAGAGGGCCAAGCACCACCTGAAGAGGAGGATTGAAGAGATACATGAAAGGCATTTCAGAGGTGCGTTTTGTGAACACAGACACACACAAACAAACACAACAGGGGCTGCTGTGGGAAAGTCTAACACACACACACACAAACACACACACACACACACA